TCCGCCGATTCATTGACAAAGCTGTCATTGGCTATTGATTTATGAGCCCCGTTCAAGCTGCCCCTTTGGCGGAAACAACTCATTCAGAGCGCCACAGACTGCCATAATTTGTGGTCCTTTTAGCCCAGGATTGAGGCCTGTCTTAATGACATCGTCTTGAAGTGCTTGGCTCAAATGGTTGCCACATTGAGGTGATTGCTAATTACCTTTCCTCCGCCTGTTCTGGCGTTTTGTTGCCTTAACCGCATTCTCAACACGCAAATAATTGAGATATGCCACTGCCTTCTCGCCCCGCTGGATAATTCCAATTGTTGTTTGACCAAGCGAAAGTTTCTTTGTGGCCATCAGATACCCGTTTAAGATACAGATATCAGTCCCAGAGACAGATGCAGATACAGATACATGGTTAAGGCTTTATCAAACTAAAACGTGATGTCGTGCTGCCCCCACATAAACTGATGATATGGCCTGCACTAAAGATAATTAGTTGGCAAAGTACCTAATGTCGCAATTATTCTGTGTAGCTGGTTAAGTAATTATTTTGGACAAAGCTTAAGTTGCAAATGTCACAGTAGTGGCCGATATATTTGATTTATTAGCAAAGCTTATGAGCTTTGATTTCAAAAGTAAAAACTCATTAATCAATACCAATTTCTGTTAATTAAATAATAAGTGCCTAATAAGAAAGCAATTTAAAGTTTCATTTTTAAATAACATTTTTTTAGTAAAAAAATATGGCCAAAAATAAACTGTTCCTCAATATAAACAATATCTATTGTTTGACTATTTTACCTGCCTATTTCTAGTGTGCCATTGTTTATCAATATAAACATTATCTAATGTTTGACTATTTTATCTATCAGAAACAGATACTGTTTTATTGAGCAGAAGTTAATTTTCCATAATTATAAGTTGATTTAAAGTTAAAAAAATATTTAAAATCTTTTCAATTTATGCTTTTTTTGTGCTTTGGATGGTCGTATAGAAAGCATTAATTTGTTAAAAAACTAAAGATTATACAAAAAGTTTAGCTTACTAAGTGTCAATTTAATGTAAAATGACATAGGCATATATTTTGGCCAATTTTATGAAATTTTCACTGTATGATATGATGGCTGGCTCTTCATCGAAATGTCCAACACGATTTTAATTAGTTTGCTGCCTGCAGGTGTTATTTTCGCGCTCTTGCTGTACATTTGCCAAATTCCCCACATATGCATGTGTTTGCCACATAATGTGTGGATAGAGCATTTGACCCTGTGGCGCCTGGCAAACAAGCACAGCAACAACAATTGAAACATGTCTATTGGCGAGACGCAATGTTCCATTTTCCACACCAAGCCACCGCACATTTTGAAATTCAATTTGCCACGCTTAGGCCCAAAAATTAATTCTCATTAAAATTGCATTGTGCAGTGCCTCCTTAATTTATGTAAAACCCTGATGACCGGAAGTGGAAGTTGATATGATACCACAGAGACCAAAAACCAACATAATGAAAAAGTAGCAAATGAATTCAAAACGCGGACCGAATCGAAATAAACACCACAACGTGGCCTTGTCTAAACTTTGAACGAATTGACGCTTCTCCAATCAGGATCTGCATTGTTTATTGTTTAATGCCCCCTATTCCCCTCGCCTAAGCGAAAAATTAAAACAATTGTACATTTCACATTTATTGAAATTGTTTTGCTGTTTATATTTTTGCAGGGCTTTCAAATGCGGTTGGGATCGGTTTTGTTGTTTAAGGGTAAATATTCTCCGTGGATTTGCATGTGAATGTGTGTTTACCTTTGTCCCAATGTATTCACTGCTGAATCGATAATTGCATTAAATGCTGTGGCGTATTGGTCCAATCAAACGTGTTTGGCGTTTCTAAATTATATGGCTAACTTCATTTAATAAAGTCGTTTACTGAACTGATAAAAGCACTAAGCTCATTGATGATTATTTGCTTAATAGGATTGATCAAATGCCAAGAGATTTCCTTTGTTTGTAATTTCGATAATTATTCAAGAATATACAACAGTATTGATTATATTTGTGTCTAACAATTTATTTATACAAATTCTAGAGTTTCTAAATTATAAGCATAACTTAATCCTGCAAAGTCTGCGCTTTAAAGTTTTTCAACTTTTCAGTCAGCCACACATTTTCTTGCATGAATTAAGAAATTTAATAGGTATATATTTATTTCGCTTTAATAAACTAATTTTTGTCTTTTTTGTTGGCTTGCCTATCGTGTGTAATATATTCATTATTGTTATTATAATGGTTTTAAGCACACTAATTATGTTTATACTGATTAAAATACAGCTAATTTTCAAATTATGTAAGGGATCAAATAGTTTGTTTTAGGAAAATAGAAATTATATATTTTCTAATTGATGTTGATTGTATTTAAGACAAATAAAGTTGTTTTTTTTATTCATCAATGAACTTTTTAGTACATTTTTTTGGTTTGCTATAGTGACTATTGATTTGATCAACCATTTGAATCCATTTCCCTAAAGAAATTCCATGTTTGTAGCCAATTTACTTTGGTTCGTTACGTTTCGCTTTTGGCTAGTTCCTGCTAATATATATGCAAAAATATATGAATACGGTTGTATAGATTTGTATATAGCTTGTGTATGCTTCGCGCTCACTTTTTTATTTGGCTGGTTAAGTGAGAATTCGGTTTTTCGTGCATTTGACACGTTCTGTTTATGGCGCTGGAAAAGGTGTGCGAGTGTATGCAAAAAAGTTTTGGCTGTTGAGTTCGGTGGGGGAATTTGAAACCGTTTGGAGCTGTCATCAAACATGCAAACTGCATCCAAGCGAATTGGTAAGAGACCGGGATGCTCGCCCAACTGAAGTATTTGCCTTTCGAACTCAATCTGAGATGCGAGAGAGAAAATCAATCAAATGCCTTTAACCGAAACACAAAACTTCGTCTAACCGAGATTAACTTTGGCGCTCCCCGGTTGCAAAGTATCAACAGAAAAAGTTTACAAATAACCGAGCAGATACTCGCACTCAAGGGGGCAACAAAATGCGGGCAATTTGCCTACAAATACCCTGGATATGGGATTTCAAGAACCATCGATCTGGGCGCCCCCTGGAGATTCCGATCAACAAACTGGAAAATGTTCTCTCCACTGTCGGGGAGTGAATTTTCCAAGTTTATTGTTCAGCCGCTGTTTCGAGGGGTGAAATGTGTGGAAACTCGAACTTGCTCAACACATATCCATAAACGCTCCCACTTTAAGCCATGCAAAAAAAGTTTTCGCTCACACAAAAAGTGAAAAGTGAAAAGCGAGCGAGTGGCAGAGGAAAAAGTAAAATTGCTGACAGGAAACTTCCAATCAGAAATGAATTACTTTGAAGTGAGCTGACGAGGGGGCGACAGGGGGGGCTGGTAGTTACCGCAGTGTCAAGTTTAAGAAGCCATGAAATAACATTAATTTGTTGCAAATTCGCTTGCCAAGTTTTTTAAGTTGAATTAATTTGATTAGCTTATCGCCCGTTCAAAGTTGAAACTCCATCAGCATTTCAAACAGGATTGGGATTTTTGTAAGAGATGCGTGCGTGAGTAAAATTTGGTCGTGTCACTTGCTTTATGCAAGTCTTTAATCGTTATTAAACTAAAGTATAGATTTTAAGCCGATTAGTGCATATATAAAGTATAATGAAAAAACATTGAATTTGTCACATGTAACTATGTGAAGTTGCCGCCAGAAAACATAGCGTTTCGTTAGAAATATTGAAAACTCGTTCACGCGTTTACCTCTAATTCTTATCCTAAATAGTAGCCATTTTAAATGGCTGTTACTCTGGATTTTGTGGCAGGAAGTTCACTTTTTACATTCAGGCCAAAAACAGGAGTCGACGACAATTCAAATTTTATTAGATTACATGAAATTTATGTGGCAATCAACTTAAAAAACAGAAGAACGGAAAATGTCTAGGCCGACATGGAGAGTGCTTGGAAAATGCAAATGACTGCGAGTTCTGCTGTGTGTGTCATGATTTTAATAAGAATGAACTTCTTTCCCCCTGCGCTTGTGTCCTTCGCTGTTTTTTTTCTTTGTTGAACTAAATAAGTCACATAAAAAGAGTACATTTTCGTGGAGTGAGGGAAGGGAGCGTTGAAAGGAAATGGGCATTGGGTTCCCTTTTCCTCCGCCCTATCTATATATCACTTTATTCGTATATGTTGCATGAAGAAAAGGCAAATTATTTTTTTTTTAATATTTTTACGGCAAAATGCTTGAAATTGATAAGGCTGCCTTTTGTATGGTATGCATGTATATGTGGGTCCCAGTACATGTAGGAGAGTGGGGGAGTCTCGGGAGTCTCTGTGGGTTAGCATTTTTAGCAACCACAAGCAACCTAACCTCCCATTTCAACCTACACTTAAAATCGTGGCGAAACATAAAGTACACTTTCTAAACGTGAAGGAAATATAGAAGCGATTCTTTTAAAAAAACGTTATTTATATAAACGAAAAAATTTTGTCTTAGGAAATTTAAATTTTTTATGGCGATAGTCATGTCGTTCCATTTTGTATTATTATAAATAAATACATAGTAATAAATAAGATTTAATAAATAAGATTTTTATACGGTCAAACATTTAAAAACGTATTTTCAATAAAATTAAAAAACATTTTTCAGGGAAAAAACAATTTCAATATTTTCTTCATCGGTGACCAATGCACCCATTAGTTTGGATTCCCCTGGTTAGGAATGGTGCCCAAAGCAAAGGAGAAGGAAGCCACAAAAAATTGTTGAAAATACAAATTTAAATTGCCTGTTTGTCTGGTTTTCTTAAATATATTTGCCAAGCTCACACATCCTTACACGCAGGCAGGGGAAACATATCTTCTCGGGTGCAGACACTTGTATATTGACGCCCCTCAACACATCACCCCCATTGTACATCTGATATTTAATGATTATTTGTTTGTCTGTTTGCTGATTCTGACTTCTCTTTTGTTTGCTTTCTCTCACCGGCAGATTGGATGAATCTCTAACGTCATGGTATGAAGGAGCCGACGAACACTTTGGATGAAATTGTAAGTGCTTCGGCTAATCAGTGTCTAGAGCCACACAGTTCAGCTCCCTGTGTCACATAACCAAGGCGGAACCGCATCACGAAAATAAAAATCCACTGGGGAAGGGAAAAACTTCGGGAAATATATGCGAAAAAGTCAAGACAATGCAACTGACACATAATGAAAGTGAAGTGCGGGGAAATTAAAGCCAACCAGTTTATGGTCGGGGTCTGGTACACTGAAAAAAATAATCGAAACAATGAACAGTTCAATTGGTAAAACATACAGAAATGTTGGTACAGTTTGATTTTAAATCATATATCATTTGTAAAATTTTGATTCCTTTAAAAAATTAATTAGGTAAAATATTAATTTATTTTAATTAGTTAATCGATATTTAAGATGTTTTGGTTTTATGATAGGAAACCAACCCAAAGTATGTTACATCAACAATGAAATATTGAATATTTAATGTAAATCTTTTAATCTTATATTTTTTCTGTGCATAACAACTGCACGCAGTTGGCGGTTGGAAAACGGAGAAAAGTTAAAAATGCAAAGCAATCTAAATAAAATGTCAGTCCCGCAAGTGCCGGCAGGTGGCGCCACCAGCGGGGGAGTGGGACAGAAAGACAAACGGAAAGGGACAACATGTGAGCCACAACATGAAGACAACAACAAACAATAGATATAGTTGGGCCCAGACTTCAAAGTATTACCCAATGTAAAGTTTTGTTTGGTCTGGAATGGGAAGTGGGGGTGGGGAAGGAAAAGTGGGGGACATCGCCGTGTCAAGCGGTAATTGTTATGTAAATGAGTTTTACAATTTTTTGCAAGCCAAAAAAGGTCACCAGATGAAGGGAGACACTGTGGCTTAGGCCTGGTCGACAAATTTCAGCCAAGTCAGTCAGCAGTTTTCTGCCGCCCGATGAGGACAAACAAAAGTTTTGTTTAGCTTTTGTTTCGGTGCTTTCGCTTTTCGTTGCATATATATTGTACCTCGGTAGAACCGAAATACCCTACCTATACCATACCCTCTTTGTTGCCTTTGTGTGCAAGTCAAGCTCTTTATAAAATTGCAAATCAGTTTGTAAGTCAACGACAACATTTTGTTGTGGTTCTCCAGCCAAAGTGCTTGGTTTGTCTCTGCCTAAACCACTTTCAATTATTTTTTTGGCGCAAACAAACAAATGACTATGACTGTATTTTCGGTATAAAGTTGCTCTTTCAGCCATGAAGGTTCAGCAGACACGTTGGAAAGTTAATAACCGTTTAGTCAAGTTAAGCAGAATGGAATTTCGAATTTTTCCATTTTCTGTTCTAAAAGCTTACACGGAAAAAAATGTATATAATATGACAACATCTACAACATATCTTAACATTTTAGCTTTAGCCTATATTTCTTAATTTCATTATTTAAGCGGTGAAAAATTGTTTCTATTTTATATAATAGTTTTTAGATTTTTAAGCTATTTTGTTAGTATGGATACAGATATAAATTAGCATAATAAAATTATGTAAATAATTTAAAAATAAATATATCTTTTGGCTTAAAAATTATTTTGCTCCTATTAAATTAGTTTTTCAAACATGGGTGCTCAGCTGCACACCTTTTCCCTCTTCCATATTTAAAGTATTACGAATGAATTCTGATGAAAGGATAGTGACCTTCAGGTGCTTGCATACTTGTAATAAAGTTGATTCTACTTTAAGGAACTCCGTTATGGGTGCTTTTTCAATTAGCAATTTATTCAATTATTTATTTGAAAAGTGGCCCTCTTAAAGGCCATAACTAATATTGGAATTTCCCCTGGCGGCCTCGCCCACCAACTGTCCCCTGTTTCAGCAATATTTGTGTTAGCCTATTTCCTTAAGTGCAACGTCAGCTTGGCATTTCGCAACTTTTGTTGCTGTTTCCTGGAGGGAAATATAAATGCCAGGCCATGGCAAAAGACAAACACCAACAATATACACACACCCATACGCGGGGGAGAGTCACGCACACACAGACACTCCACTCACACACCCAAACTCACACGCACACATATGGCGAGCATGCAGATGTGACAGAGTGGGACTTGAATTTTTAATGCAAGGCAACAACCATTCTCAGCGGCATATTTACATTTCGGCTCAATGTCAATTGTGTTTATAAATTAATTTGCAAAAAGACAAATGTACACATGGCATTGGCGAAGGGATGGCGAGCGGCCGAGAGGGTGAGCTGTTGCCAAACAAGCACGCCTTTTGTTTAGAGGCCATTACGGCCAGGGAGCCATGGGCCTCTGTTCCACTGCCAGTGTCAGCTCATGTGGAGCACCTCCGGCTCCCGAATCTCTACAGGTTGCTGGCTTCTGCTGCTGACCCCACCGACGCATTGTTGTCTCGTTCTCTGCAGGGTACCTTGTTAGGGGACCCATTCTCATAGCTTCGGTGCCCATTTCCGTACCCAAACCCCTGGCCGTACCTCAGCTGGCGTGACAGGTTGTTGTCGTCGTTAGATGTTAGACGCATGCTTTTGTTTCTTTTCGGTGTCCTCTTACCCCGGGAATGGGGCAGCACACTACGAAAAATGGGTGTTGGGACTCTACAAATATTAATATATATTTAATAGTTTAGGGTCTTAATTTACAAACAAATATTTGGCATAAGACCTTTTTTTTAAGAAAATGACAGCTTAACTTTACTGTTCCATTTTTCATATACTATACAAATTAATAACACAACACGTAACTCAAGTACTTTTGAGCAAAATCACCAATAAGACACGTATTTCAGATACTTTTGCCATAACCAAAAATAGCTTTTACCATTTTACCACAGTTAACTTGTCCATTTGTAGTTTAAAAATAAACTCATAATTGACACGTTTAAACAGCTCTTCCCTAAAACAATACCAAATCATTAAAAACAATGCTAAATATTAAACAAAGAAACACTTTTTAATAAAGAAATGCAGAAATTAAATTAATTTTTTTAATTGGTTTTGAAAGTATTACTTTTAAATTTTTTTCTCTGTGCATTAGCGGGGATAAGCAGATGCCAGTTGTCGTAAATATTTGCGCACAAAAGTCGGCAATGATTTGATGCACACGCACACAGGCAGCTGGCTAAGCTGAAACTAGCTAAGCAGCCCACACACTGCTGCTGAGAAAAAAGACGGTTTAACCCGCTTGAGGGGTGAAAGGGGGTGGCTGCTAATTTGCGCAACAGAATGACAGGCTGGGCCAGATACAGTGGGATTTAGAATGCCTCCAACAGCTGGAAGCGATAAGCCAATAGCGAGAATGGCGAAAATCTCGAATTAATAGATTCTCTTTATTTCCAAAAAATAATATATAACATGTAATACATTTCTTTTGAAGTGGCTATAACAGTTACATATGTTGTTTACCTATATAAATTCTGTATAAACATCTTTAAGCAAAGAAATGTTTTTGCTTTAATTAAATTTCAGACTGCAGTCTGTTTTTAAAAAGTCTTAAATATTCTGCTTTCACAAACGTTCCCTTACGTAACAGAGATTAGTTTTATGCGTTCATATTTCGAAGAGCATATAAATAATGCTTCAAAAGCAACAAACGAAAGAAATACTTTATTGATTAAAAATTCTTTAGATTATTGAACGTCTATACTACTACAAAACGTAAGGTATAGCATGCCATTTTGGCATTATTAAGATGTTCTATCAGCATAATAATCAGCAAATACATTTGTTGCTGCTCCGTTCGCATGCATGCTTAATGCCTCCATATGCGAATTAAATCCTTCGTCTTTCATTGGGATAATACCCCAGCAGAACTGCAGCATTGCACGCACTTCCGTGCGGCATCTTCAGCAATTTGGCAATGCAAGTGAGCAAGGCCACCCACATTTGGGGACCACCCAACCCACCCGACCACCCACACAGCTGCATTGGTTCGGCTCTTGCTCGCTCGGCTTTTCCTCGGTCCTTTCCAGCTTTCGGCTTCTTTTGCCGCCCGACGAACTTCGTTTTCGAATTCAAAGCAGCGGCAGCCGTCGTAGCGTTCAGTTCTGTTCCTTTAACGGTATTGCAGTCAGTTGTGCTTTGGCTGGCGGTCGCGACAGTTGGGAGCTAACGCGATATTGCCGCTAAGTAACGTCGTCGTCGTAACGTCGGTTCGGCCACCAATAACGTAACGCAACGTAACGTAAACACTTTGTTTTGGGGGGCGGCTCGTTTGGCGCATTTTTTCCGTGAGTTATTAAAATGCGATAAAAGCCAGTGAATCGGTAATAAAGCGCTTATCTGGTCCCGCAATTACGACCCAAAAAGGGGCGGGCGGATCTCGCATTGGCGGTTTTTGTGGCGGCGACAAAGCGAAAAAAAAGAAAATATCAGAAGCAGCAGCCGGCAGTTTTCTCCAATTACTCGCGGGCCCTGTGAAGTCAATTGTGTGCTGGCCCGCATCTGTTACAAATTTCTTTCCAGGCCGGGAGTCGTTGGGGCAGGACGCCCCAAACCAAATGTCACCATTCCACACATCCGCCCATCAGCGCCTAAATGTATGCTTTAGTGCGTCCGTCTGTCTGTGTCTCTTTTAGTTAATAGTTCTCTACGTGTGTGGCATATTACAAACGCACACATTAATGCGAGGGACCCACAAACACACTCACTCACACCCACCTCGCAGGTGGGAGCGTGTTTGTTTTTCTTGGCTTTTAGCTTCCGCTGCGGGCTATCTCGAAAAACATTCAAAGTATCTTTCGGATGTGCCACTTGCCGTTCTTCGATGTGTGTGTCAGCGCTGGTGTGTGCTACTTTTGGGTGTTTATGGCATTTAAATCAATAATGTCGCATGCCAGCGACTTGGCCAACGCTCTTTCACTCCTTTTCGCCTTTTGCCACTCCCGCTGCGAATGCAATTTGTGCGGATTTGTTGCCTTCATCTTGCTGAAGTGCACCCGCCTACGTTGCAGTATTAGAAAAAGGTGACTCAGTGGTATAAGTACCACCACCCCAAAGCACACACCGCCCCTCCCACACCCTTTCGGCTGGC